GTTGTTTTTGTTTTATGTGCATAAGGAACAATTTAGTAGAAGATTGATACTCATCTGCAGTGAAACCTGCAGACAGACAAGAGACTGGGTGGATTTTGCAAGGTGAAAAAAGTAGAAAACTTTTTATCACTTTTTTTAAAGGGAAAGATTCTGATTTCTCAAAACTTGAGTGAGCAAAACAGTGTATACCTGTGAGCTGCTAAAACAGCTGTATCAATGTGTTCACTTGCAAGTCTTTCCATCTCTGGCTTCATAGGCTGTTTTCTTTTTTTGTGTGCTGAAGATGTAGTTAAGCTATGTCTGGCCTTTATTCAGCAAAGATTTAAGCACATATTTAGAATTAAACACTTCATTCCACATTTCACTTTGTGCACTCTCAGATATTTGCTTCTGCTCTCATACTGTGGAGTGTCTCTGGTGAATATTCTGAGACTGGGACAGTTTTTTCATTATGGTATATTTTTTTCTTTCAGTCATGCTATCTTTTTAGAAAACAGCTGTATTCTCCAACTTAATTGAATTCACAAATTAAATCCCAATTGCTTCTGTAATTTATTGCTCAAACTCTTCTTTCCTCTGCTGCTTTTCTTCACATAGGATCTTGCTTTTACTCCTAAAAAAAATAGATACCATATCTTCTTCCTTCTGTCCTTTCTCCTCCACTGTCAGAGCAGCAGAAGTTTCTTGTCTACTTTCCATCTGTACCCCCTCCACTTGCCCCAGTGACCCCATGTTCTGTTCTTCCTCTTACTTCTTCCCTCCCTTACTCTCTTTCTTAACCTCTCGCTGTCCTCTGGCTCTTTTCCACTTGCAATATAAGCAAGCATTTGCCTCTTAAAAATTGCACCTTTGACCCTACTTGGTTCTTCATATCATATCTCATCGCCTATCTCTTCTTCATTCCTAAGCTCATTGAAGGCGCTGTTTATAATTACTGTCTGGAGACCCTCTTCTGTGATTCCCTCCTATAACTCCTACACTTTGGCTTCTGTTCCTTGCTTGCAACTGCAACAGCTCTCACCAAACTCCCTGATGACAAGATCTCAGAAACAGTAGTCTATCCTCATTCTTCTTGATTTGTCTGCAGTTGACCAGACTATTCCTTTAACTTGTGTCTTCTATTTCTCTCTGTGGCTCTGTCTTGGTAATTTTCTTCTTTCCAAGTAGTTCTGCAGAATGCCCTTCAAAGTTGTTTCCCGTGTTGGACTAACGTGGGTGGAGGTCCTGGGGCTCTGATTTGATTGCATTTTAATGCCCTATGGGTTCTTTTGTACCCAAATATTAAAGAAAATTATAACAGCCGAATTTATAGATAACAAATAAATAGCTTTGTGTTGCAACCTATTTCCTCACACATTCACTTAATGGTTTATAAACACACAAATGCAATTACAAAGCATTTCATTCAGCACTGCCTTAATTCTAGATATACTGGCAAGTACTCAGACCAGGCACATGATTATCTTTGCTCTTTCACACAGACATGTATGTTTTCTCCTTTCACGTGCTCTGTGTACCCCCACTAGCAGTACTCAGTGCTTGCCTGCATATGTTCCAGCTTGCATGTAGTTTTCTGCAACTTCCTATAAGAATACAGCAGGACCTTTTCAACAAGAATTCTACAGGGCTTCATCTTAGGCCCTGTGTTCTGCAACATCTTCATAAATGACTTGGACATAGGACTGGAAGGTATACTAAGCAAGTTTGTAAATGATACAAAACTGTGAGGAACTGTCAGCTCCCTTAAAAGCAGGGAAGCCCTGCAGAGAAACATTGACAAGTTAGAGGGCTGGGTGATCACCAGCCATATGAAGGGATTGTGCCAGGTTCTGCACCTGGGATGGGGCAACCCTCGATGTATGGACAGCCTGGGGAGTGAGATGCTGGAAAGCAGTGCCCCAGAAAGGGACCTGGAGGTCCTGATTGATGGCAAATTTAATATGAGCCAGCAGTGCCCTGGCAGCCCGAGCAGGGCCAGCCCTGTCCTGGGGGCATCAGGCCCAGCATGGCCAGCTGGGCAAGGGAGGGGATTGTTCCACTCTGCTCTGCACTGGAGCAGCCTCACCTGCAGTGCTGGGGGCAGGTCTGGGTGCCACAATATAGGAAAGATATTTGTGAGCATTCAAAGAAGGGAAACAAAGATGGTGAAGGGCCTTGAGGGGAAGCTGTATGAGGAGCAGCTGAGGGCACTTGGTCTGTTCAGCCTGGAGGAGACTGAGGGGAGACCTCACTGCAGTTACAGCTTCTTGTGAGGGGAGGAGGAGGGGAAGGCACCGATCTCTTCTCTGTGGTGACAGTGACAGGACTCAAGGAAATTACATGGAGCTGAGTCAGGGGAGGTTTAGGTTGGATATCAGGAGAAGGTTCTTCACCCAGAGGGTGGTTGGGGACTGGAACAGGCTCCCCAGGGAGATGATCATGGCACCAAGCCTGACAGAGTTTGAGAAGCATTTGGACAATGTTCTCAGGCACATGAGGTGACTCTTGGGGATGGTGCTGTGCAGGGTCCAGGAGCTGGAGTTGGTGATCTTTGTGAGTCTCTTCCAGCTCAGCTTATTTTGTGATTCTGTCTGCTATTTTATGTCCTCTATTAAAAATGCTTATCCTGATACATGTCTGGAGTGCACTTTACTCTTTTATAGCTACATTTTAAGTATTTTGCTTTCAAATTTAATGTTATCACCACATCTCTACTTTTTATTCCAACTCATTAAATGAAAATATTAGAAGAAATTCTGCCAAGCTCATTCTTGATGAACTCTACTGAAAATTTGTTTTTTTCATTCTCTACAGGATTTCATTGTCTCTCTGGAAGAAAGTTCTTTCCTGTCAAATTCTTTCAGTAATCCCTATTTTCTCCAATTTAATATTGAATATCAGATGCCCAGATAGATTACATCTACCATATTTTCCTTGTTTAAAATGTCAGTTTAGTCACAATGGTGTAAGTATGCAGAGAGTTCATAATCTCAAACAGATTTGTGTATTGTAGTAGGCAGATTCCTCAGGTCACCACATACTTTCATACCCCAGCAGGCCCAGCTGAATTATGTGAGCTCAGGCAAGTTACTGCTCTCTGGTGTGAACCACAGGGAGTATTCTGTTGTTCTCTAGATACCTTTTGGCCTGCTTTTACTTTTGTTTGTCCTACTCCATTCCAGATGTCATTCATGCCACATTATCACTACCAAATACTTGTCTTTTTGATCTGTGTAGCTTTTAGGAACCTGTTAAGATATGTAAGTAAAGGGAACATGTTCACACACTTATTATATGTTTTGCATTTACTTTGTACTGTTCTTAATCACTTTGCAAAATGTACTGTGTCTGATATTGAAAATAATGTCAGTAGGTGTATGCAGTCACTAGCTCAAGGCACTGTAATATTATGTAAAAAGGAATCCTTTGGGTCTGAAATCCTTCATGCTTAGTTTCATTTGAAAAACTGCATGCATAAAAAATATTAAGGAAATTATCCTTCATTGATTTTGAGTTATGTGTCACTGAAAATCGGGACAGTGTTTAACTGTTAACAGTAGCTGCATTTTTATCTTTAATGTAGATATGAAAATACAGAATTTTAGAATTTAAACAGTGACATCTAAATTGGGGCTGATAGTTAATGAATTCTGTGGCCAAGTTTCAAAAACCTGGTTTTCATAATGACATTGAAATCATGCCTAGTAGGCATCTGGATTAGAATTATGAGCAGGATGTAATGGACCCAACCACTTTTGTGGAAACCAAATTCATTTCCATTTCTTTGTCAGAGCTAATCAAGCTCTTTTTAGATTTAAGGTCTGCTTCATTCTTACCACTAATTCTGGTGAGCCAGGACCATGCTTTCATATAAGGGATGAAATATACGCTATGCATTAAAATATGGAATTTTTTTTCGCAATTTGTTTTTGCGTGTTACTGATCCTAATTTCACATTCTATCAATCAGTTTCTCCTTCAACTGCAAAGAAACAATACATCCTTTACCCCATGGACCTTGACTACGTACAAACTGGCATCTGTTCAATCCCTTTTGCATTATACAATGTATAATTTTACATTATATTCTTCAGTGTTGAGCGAAAGGGAATGACGGGAGATCGATGAAGGCTCTTGTTCTCTTTTTAAGCAGTTGAGCAACCTCCCACTGGGATTGGGGCTCTGCAGGCCTCTGAATCTGTTGTAAATCCTTTTACAGTCACACTTTTGATTTTGACTGGATGTTTCTGGTTAGTTTAACCATATTCCTGATCATTTTAAGATACACAATTAGAAGTTTAATTAGAATTTCATGGCTCTTAATTGTCATTAAAAAGAGGAAATTTAAACTGAATTCTATGCTAATAGAGCATTTGGGCTGAACAACGGAAGTTTGGTTGTGGCTTTCAGTTTTTATTCTTTGTGGATCCAATAGCTGCTGAGGGACACAGTTTGGCTTCTCAGTTTCTTACTGTCCCAGGGCATACCTAAATTACAGCTTGCAATGGAGCTATAATTCTTATGGGGCACTGGGACAGAAATGCCAGAACAGAGAGACAGAGTGAAAGCTTCCTCATTCACCACAGTTCTGATGAGATGATGGGGTTGTCCATGGTTGCTCACTATGATCTGGGTAGGTAGTACAAGGAAGAAAGTGACATCTTCTGAATACTTTGTGAGAGCAAGGCAAGGCAAAGTTTGAGCTGGCTCTTGCAACTTCAGAAGGAAATACCAATAAAAACCGAATCTCCTACAACATTGTAAACTTGACCGCATTGCCAGTCTTTTACAACTCGTGACATACGGAGCATAATTAAAGCTATGCATCGCTATTCCATGATCTGAAAGGAAAATTGATAAACCTTCTGTTTTCATCTGATGTAACTTTAACTTTTTATTCAAATCTTTATTCAGCATTGACTGGTTTATATGTTCAAAATTATATTTAACATATTTTTTGATGTAACATGGATGAATACAGATGTATATAAAACAGAACATTTTGTGTTCTTTTTGTTACAGGTACGTGTCCTGTGCCTTGGGATGCCCATATGAAGGAAATGTTGTACCAGATAAAGTGGCAGAAGTAAGAGTGAATTTCTGGATTGTTAATGAACCAAAAATACATTTTAAAATGTCTATAATTAGTTTTCTCTACCTAATCATAAAAAAGATCTTTAATGGATAAAATTTAAGGAAAACAAGCAAAAATCCTAACTAATGCTAAAAATTGGTGCATAACTTCACTTAACCATATACAGTCAAATGTGAGAAAAATAGTATATTTTGATTGTTATCAGTCATAAGAAAAAACATGCACTATTTCATCTAGAAAGAAGGTAAGAAATTATGTAAGGAAATAGACTTAAGCACATATGTCAGTGGACAGTTGTACAAGAGGGTTTCCAGCACAGCTTCTTGCTTTTAAATCCATTTCATGCTGGAATAAACACACTGTGCTTCAGGTGAGGGTCATGTGATCGACACATGAACCAAAACTCATCCTCAATATAATTTCTTAAATTGCTCTAGTGCCATGATGGAATAAGTTGCATCTTCCTTCCCTGTCCCTTTTTTTCCCATTTAGAATAAAGGATAAGGAAGAAGATCTCTTAGTCCAGCCTTTTTTCCAGAAGAGAAATGAGTGAAACACAAGTGTAAAATTTTGCAGGAGGGCAAAGAGGGCATCAAAGCTTAAACGGACAGGTAAAAAAGAAAGTGGAATAAAAATTCCAAGAGGCTTAAGGCAGGACATGCTGGCCTTCCACCTAGAGACAAACTTGTCTTCTCTGTTACACTTAATCACCTATTTTTGTTGATCTAGCAGAATATCCAAACCATTATTTTTTAATTTGTAGCACTAGCAGCTAGTCAACATTTATCTGATGTTTATCTGTGTGGGTGGTTTTCAAGTCCTGTTCTCCAGATCCTGTTCTCCTGCATCTTCTTCTAGTATACACTCCAGATTAAATTTGTGATAATACTTCTCCCACACCATCCACACATACTCAGACTCTTTTGGAAAAAAAAAGAAAAAGAAAAAAGAAAAGCTAATTTGGAAGGTGCCCAGTATTTCTAAATTTATTGCTTTAATATGAAGTGAGGGATAGAAATGACACAGCTTTAGTTAGAGTAGTGATGACATACTGCTTACCATGTTCCACAACAGGCTTCTTTCCATGTGTTGCTTGTTTTTTACTGACTCTCCTTGCACAGAAGAGATCCTTCTCAGTATACCATTGGGATTGCTGTTTAATGTTCCAGACCTGCAAAATTTTACTCACACAGCTATTTTATTCTCTATATTCATCCTAATGTATTCTTGCATACCTGTATACCACTGTGTATATGTTCATGAATAAAAGCTACTGCATTAAATTTATTAATTCCATCCCTGATTCAGCAAACTCTGCTGTGTATATAGAAGCATCTAGTGTATTTTATGTAAATACATGCACAGAATCAGCATTATCAAAATTACTGTCTGAGTTGCTGAACTCCTTCAGAGTGCTGCTGCTCTGGTCATCATCTTATTGGGATGTGAGCATTTTGACTCTCTGTGTATTGCAATTAGTAGCTATGATTGAAAGATTTAGGCAGTTTCTCCTGCAGCCAGTAACAGTGGCCATTTTTATATTTTTTTAAACAAAAGATTTTTTTAACTGAAGCAAAAGCAGTTAGAAGAGGTGGATTATTTTAAACTACATGCATTATTACAGATTGTCACAGACTACATTAATTTCTAGCATACTAGATACATAACTACACATGGTAATCTAGTGAGTGCCAAATTCAGATGCCTTCAGACTTGTAGAATTTAACAGGTATATTTGTATGGTTCTTTAAAATAAACAAACAAGCAAACCGTTTTCATATCCTAAAATAAATTGCCTAGTCTTATTACTCTACTGATTCTTGAATGGAAGTCACTGTTTAACCATTTGTCATTTTGTGGTTTGAGTCACTGCTTAACCCTTTATCATTTTGCAGTTCAACTTTAGGCATATAAAGCTTGAAAGTTGTTGGAAACACTGTATAACATCCTTGAAGCCAGTTGTATAATCCATTATCATATAATTCCATCATATCCTGGGCTGTTTTTATCTTTCTGCCTGCTTATTTCTTACCTTAGCTTCCTTTTAACCTAAAACAGTGAATTAAGTAGATTAAATATTATCCAGGACACATCCTGATCAAATTATAGAAAATGTCTCTACTCTTGTTTGAATATTGTTGCATCAATAAAGTTTTCCTTACAGCACAAGAACTGCAGGTTTTTTAGATTGTTAGTTGCATTAAATAGATTTATATAAATAAATATATATATATATATTAATAATAATCTATATAAATAGATCTACACAAATAAATCTATAGCTGGATTATCAGCTTTCATATTGAATATAAGAGTATAGTTTTAGATATTATTTCCAGGAGTAGGACTGTTTATGTGCTTAAGATGTTGCAGTGCTGCTTCCCCAGTTCCCATTTTGATCAATATTTGCTGTCAAGGGGACAAGGTTCCCAAGGGAAGTAGCACAAGACTCATGCATAGCAAAACTGCTCAATGCTGCAGAGCACAACCTTGTTCAATCAACAAAGCTGCAAGCTCATAATCACATCCTGATTACATAGAAAAAACAGTGTGTTCTCTTCTCCCACACTCTCCTCCCAAAAATCCACATTGAAAACTTACAAAACTATAGCTAAGAAGTTGTCTTTTACTATGGTAGAATAGAAAATTCAGTACAAAAAACTCCCATTCAGCTTCCAAGCATATTTATTCTTCTTTAAATTAAATATATATCTCTTTTTAAGGATCATGTTAAGTTTAGATCATGACACGTCAGTGATGATGCTCATCTTGTTAACAGCTTCACACTCTCCTGAATCTTTCAGAACTCTGCATTCAGGAAGCTGAAAGGCCTAAGGACTGAGCATGAAAAAAGTGAATGCAATATGATTTCTTGCAGTTTATATAGCTCAAGTTATGACTAAGATACTCATCTAGAAAAACTTTGAATCATGCATTAAAAAGAACAGGAGAAAAAATGCAGTACATTTCTTTGCCCTGATCTTAAAGAAACACTAAGGTTTGGAGTTTAACTGAATGTCATTCACCACTAACTGCAGATGATCCTTTTTTTTTTTCTGTACAACAGTAGTCTAGTTTAAATGCCTGCTATATTTTGATGATATAAAAATATCATCAAAATATATGTCATCAAAATTTCTGTGAGATTAATCCTTTGCATTCCAGTGAATGTCCCTTTCTTAAAATGTATGTTGAATTTATGTGTGTATGAATCAGGTAATCTGAGTTTAAAGCACAGTTCTACCACATTTGCAATAGTCATAACACTTCCAAGCCTTAAGCAGGATGATTCAGACCATTTGAAGTTCTTTTTCAGCTGTTTGAATTAAGCAAGCAGCAATACTACTCCAGCACTTCCGAGACTGCTGGTGCAGCACTTTGTCCACTTCCTCAGGCATGCTCGCAGCAATCCCACTGATGAAGTCCTGGAATTGTTTTAACAGCAGACTCCAGTGTGACATAAGATGTCTTTCTGGAACAGGGTTGTACTTTTTCATTTCTAAACAGTTAGTTTCTAAACTGGGATTCCATTCCAGTGGAGCAGTCTTTTGGGATCTTTCATACGCAGTGGGGAATTCTAAAAGGGACAAACATACTGAGCAGCTGAAAATAAGGTGGAGTCATTCCAAATAAATCCAACAAAAATAAGATGGAATGATCCTGCATTCAACTCCTGAAGCAATATTTTCAGTGAAAACATGATTTTGTGCTTCTGAATATGTTTCCATGCAAAAATTATGGAGCCAGACCTCAGTTTTCACTCATGCAAAGAACTCCTCAAATACATAATTCCAGAAATATTTAGGGCTCTGCTTACATAAATAAGACCTACTTGTAATAGTTTTGTTTGATATTAAGATTTTTTTTTAAAACTTAAGGACTAGAATGTTAATTAAGTTGCAGTTTTACTTTGTTAGTATTTTAATGTTTGATTTCATGAAAAACAAGAAAAATTAATATTGATAAATTAATGTTGATGGCAGCATGTTAAAATTTCAGTTTCCATTGGATTTTTTAAGTGCTAAGAGAAAAATCAGGATTTTTGTTATTTATTTTTTATTTTTGCTGGCTTCATGTAATATGCAAGCAAAAGGACAGGTCTTTATCCTGCACAGCTTGTAAGCTGAAAAGTACATGGAGAAAACCAAACAGCTAGGAAGTCCCCAGAGAGAAGAAAATGTTAGGAAAGGGCTTGACAGAAACTTAATTCATAATGTTAAAATCTGGATTCTGTGGGAAAGTCAGAAAGCAAGCTTTTGATGGATTTTACTTGGTCAGCAATTCCATGTATAGAATGTAGCAGAACTGTAATTTTAAAAAAAGAGGATCTGTGGGATGTTCTTCTTTGATGGCAGTTTTCAAGAATGAATATAGAGTGTCTGATAGATTGATCCACCTCACTAGGTCAAAACCTAAAACCTGTACAGAAGTATGTCCTCTATAATGTATGTTCTTGACCTCATTTTATACTCTTTTATCTTGACCTCTTGGTGTTTTTCTGTTTCTAATCAGGTATCTAAGCGGCTGTACAGTATGGGCTGTTATGAAATCTCTCTGGGAGATACAATTGGTGTGGGGACACCTGGAAGTATGAAAAAAATGCTGGAAGCTGTTATGAAAGAAATTCCTTTGAGTGCTCTTGCTGTTCACTGTCATGACACGTATGGCCAGGCGTTAGCCAATATCCTCACAGCCATACAGGTGACTTGGTTTCTTATTTTATATATACAATAATAGTATGCTTATTTTAATTCAATGTGCAATTTTAAAAAATCCTGCCATTAAAGAAATCAGTATAAGAGTAAAAAGGCACTCACTAAACTTCAGCAAAGTATTGCTCACACATCAGATTGTCTACTGGTATTATTGCTGTTGCTTTTAACTGTAAATGTTAAACATTATCTATTAATTACCGTCAATTCCATACAAAATCACTAAGAAACAGTGATGATTATTATATTTAATTGACATTAGATGAAGGAGGGACATTAAATATTTTTTTTCTGGTATCTCACATTCCAGTTTTCTTATGAACAGCTGTGTATGTTTGTTTTCCACTAAACTAAAATTTCTGCTTTATAGATGTATCTGAAAATAAAATGGAATAATATATAATTACAATATCTTATTTAATCAGCTTTCAAATCTGTGCCTAAATAATCAGAGTTAATTTCTGTAAGAAGTTTTTTCCCTTATGTTAATATATTTTTCAGAATAGGACACAATGCAGAAAACAGACTGCAAGTTCTAATGTAGTTTTTGTGAAGATATAATCGTGGGAAATATATTAATATGCATATGCCTTCCTAAGGAGATTTACTTTTACTAAGCATTACAGAATCAGAAGCTATTTACAAATTGTAGGCCTTTATTGTTCTATTTTATACTTAATGGCATCTTCTGTTTCCTTGCAATTCAGTCAGTCCTTTTGAAGGTCAAAGTTTCCTTTGTCTGACTTGTTATTTGGGCAGAGCTCATACTATGTTATTTAGATACAATTGTGTTAACAGCATTAGTGGTATTACACCACAAGACAGAACAAGGAAAATTTCAATATGGAAATCCACAGGTATTCTATTAAACAGGGAATGACAAAATCTGGTAAGAAAGGTTCTAACTTTTACTCACAGCATTCAGTATTCACCCTTACTCACTTATACTGTTGCAAATGTGTGTGTATGTACCATGGGATAAATAAATTGCTAATTTCACAGTTAGCTTCAGTTGCAGATGCAATAGCTAAAAGCATGAAAACCCCTGAGCATGGGAGGAGCTGGCCATAAAAATACTTGAAGCATTGTTTTTTAAATCCTTCCTTAAAATAATTGCTGTCATGGTGCCTGCTAAACACTGAACAATGGCTATGCTTTGTTAACTCCAGTATTTGTTGTAAGTGATTCTTGTCTCATGTTTACCTCTTGTTCCTATGTTTTTATTTAGTTCTTAAACCAGCTGTGTAAGAGCTGAAGGAAAAAAAAAACTCTTAGGTACCCAATGTGCAGCTTAGGATAATTAACTTGCAGATTCAAGAGAGAAAAAGATTTAAAAAGAAATTCCTATGCAACTTTCTCAGATTTCTGGGAAGGCAGTGGTGCCTGAGACCCACCAGAAAACTTCCCTCTGTTGTTAAGGTCTCTTACAGTACATGTCTAAAGGTGCAGTGGTTTTGGCTGAGCTGAACTTGTCATAGAGTTTGCCAAAAGTCCTTGATGAAGCAGGCATTACACAGTCTCTGTGACTGGCTTTGTGCAAGCATCTCCTTGGCTCACTTAAAAGAAGGTCCCTAGGCTTTTGGATCTTCAAACAGATCCTGCACCTCCCAGCATCCTCTCTTGTCTCTGGTCAAAAAACCAAGGCAGCTAGCAGTGGATTATAACTCCTTCTAAAGCAATATTCCTTCTAAAACTGGGACTCCTTCTTAGTTGCACGTTGGCTGTGTGGTGAAGTGCTAAAGCCAGTGGACCAGGGTGCCCAGGTCACTTCTAGTCCTTGCTGTCAGGTTTGCGCTCTCCTTTCTGCCAGAGATACAGGAATGGCAGAGCACTGGAATAAAAACCCTTGTCTTCAACTCAGCTGCTGTTTCCTAAACCAAACTCCTAGACACAGTCTCTTTCCCTTCCCCCTTTATGGGTCTGCATGACCGACACAATATTTCAGCAAGAGTGAAATGTGTTTGGGGGGTCGTAGAAATAATAGGCTACAGTTATTGCTTGAAAACAAGTTTAAAGAACATTCAGCAGACAAATTACACTCTTCCTAAGACATCACTGAACAACCCCAGGCTGAGTGCTGTTGCATTGTATATTGTATTTCCTAAGAATTAATGAATGACAGCTGGAAAGCCACAAATCACTCTGCACTAATTCAGGCATTGCTTCAATGGGAGATCTCCTAGGAGTGGAAAGAGTTGCTGGTGATTCAGTAAGTGATTTTTTATACAGATCACATTGTTTCATGCAGGATTATGCTACCCAGAATATTTTCTTTCGTTTGGGGCTGATCCAAAGTCATCTAGAACTGACAGGCCGTATCTGTATAAGAAATTAGCAGGGCAGTAGTCTTGCAATTTTAGTATTCAGTTTTATATGTGTTGTTTTAGCAAAGGGATAGGTAGTGAAAGATGGGAGAGTGATTAGCCAACTTTTAAAGCATAAGTAATTTTTTGAATTGCTGAAGCGAATAATACAGATAGAAAGGAAATTTACTTTATTTATGAAAAGAATCTATATGAAAATGTGAGGAATATGAAGTGATGCTTCAAAACAAACCAGTAAACATTTAAAGTAGATACATGCCTGGCTCTTGGTTACATGGCTTAATATAAAACTACCAGAGTATAGAATTTACCAAAGAGACAATTCAGAAGATGGGAAATGATGTGGAGATCTAGTTAGAGGTTATGGTATTTTAAGTAAAATTACATGTGTGGGTTAGCAAATGTGACAAACACATAGTGTAGCTAACAGAAATAGTAAAACATTTATGGGAGATTGTTACAGACCTCCAAGGAAGGGTAAAAACATGGGTTAAGGAACTTCTTTCTGGAGAGGCCCTGGTAAGGTAGGTCATTGATCTAAGGAGATTTGAGTTTCATTGACAATTGACTCCTGTTGTGTGTACAGAATGCGTATGGAAGGGAAAGTGTTTAATGGAAGTGTTAAAGAACTCTTTTCTTGTAAAACTTGTGTAGTTGTTAGAAATAGATTTGTCTGTCTTTATAACATATATTCAAACATGAGAAAGCGTATGAAGCAAAGAGGATATTTGTCTGGCTGTGATACCTGAATAAAGGAAACAATCACATGATAGTCCCATAGAATCTTACCAAACTCAAATTGCTATGCTAATTCATTAAAATGAACTGATCCCTGCACTATGAGGATGAAATTCTAACTTAAGGAAAACAAGTATAAAACTGTAATGACTTAGAAAGACCAAGGATTTTTATCACCTTGTTTAATCATGTTCACCTTATTGGACACAATGAGATGAATGCAATTGATTACATGCTAAATGTAACTTCATTTTATTAGTTCTTTCTTTTTCTAGAACAGGAATTTTGAAAAAAAAATCCCCACTTTAGTACCAGAAACAAAATTTAGCAAGCCTTTAATTAAACTTTCAAGGTTCAGACTGCAAAATCCAGATTTGAGAGTACAGATTCTTATTACAAACATTATAATATATCCTCTTTTAGAGAGCTTAAAATATTTAATAATGTTTTATGAATTTCTTCAAGATCCTAGAATTTTAAAGATTAAATAAACTTAAGAGAAAAGTAAATCCAAGTAAGAATAGCTGACTGCTGACCTTTTCCATGCATCACTTAATTAAATCTATTCTAGTCTCTTGGTGCATACTGGAGACCCTCACTAAACTGAATATTTTTGTGCACCCAGTTTACTTATATAGTAAAATGTAAGTTCACTCAAACCACTCAGTTTTGGCCTGGCTGTGTTAACTGCCAGAAGCAGGAAAGGAATCTGAATGTAGGTGCTGAAGTTCATGGTTTATTATTTTAGAAGGATCGTTTTTTACAGGAATAGAGTTCACAACAGCCAGCAGCATGAAATGGTAGAGCTTAAGTTAAGTGACTAAAAAAACCCTGTGTTTAAAATTCCTTCTTCTGTGATTTACATGAACTTCCATGCAAAACATTAGATGAGATGAATTTTCTACACAAAACTATCTCCTAGATGTAGCTATTCATCTTGTCCTTCTTTTTAATTTTCAAATACAGGATTTGGTTTTTGTAGCTGTTGAGCTTGCTTGAAGTCACAAGCTGTCATGGCCCGTTTCAGGTGCTTCTGAGATCTCTTGTCCAGGAGCTGCACTGAGTATCTTCAGTGCAGTCTCCCTCTCCCTCATCTGGCAGTGGCTTTAAAGCTGAAGCTCTAGTGCTTGTCCCTTGCCTGAGCTACTCTGCAGCAGCATTGCCATTGCACCTGTGTCGTCTCGTACCTCCCTAATTCTCATTCTCATCCTCACCTGCCAGCTTGACTAACTGGCTTACCCTCAGACCTGGCTGATCTTGTCTGATCCTGGTTATTGTGTCCAGACCTGATTCCAATGTTGAATCTCTGACTCAACTTCTTAGCTTTGTTTTCTGGTGATGTTGCCACCACTGCAAGTCTTTAGTGAAGGGACTGGCAACCAATAACTTGAGCTTTGCTTTTAATGGTAGGTGGTGGAGTGTGTGCTGAGAGTTGGCAGGTCTCATGTGCTTTGATCTTGGAGCTCAGCTGGAGGCTTTGTCTTGCAGAGGCAAGATATTCCTACTTAGTTAAACTCAGAAAGCATTTCCTGGTGTTTGAGTGTACATAAAGCCCTAACAGTTCTCCACATGCAGCTCTGTTGGTATAAAAATGAATTAAGAAAGCCTGAGAAATGGGTGTTGGTGTCTGACAACACTTAAATGCCTCTCTCAGGTGCCAGATTACGTTCACTGGCATTTTCCTCTCAAGTTTTCAGATATGCATTTCTGTGACTGATATAAAAGAATATACCTGTAATGCCCTTAGTGATGAATTTCCAAATAAATAAATCATATGTAAGAAACACTTCTGTACTAGGAAATCCACTTAGCATTTTTATCCTGCAGTCAGTTCTTTCACCTTGGATTTGTCTGGCATATTTTAGTAGATATATACAAGGATGAGGGCTCGTCCTAGCTTATCCCCGTGAATGCTGGTAGTTACAGC